GATAGAGTCCTCCGACTCTGGACGTATCAAGTTGATCCTGTGGTCGAGGGATCGCAGAGGCCGCTATGCATGTGGGCCACGCAGGCATGGAATGGAGTGCATCAGGTAGACATGGCCAGGGCCTGGCGCAGGGAAATGTCACGCGAAGCGGCCAGACGGAGTCGGACGCTAGATCGCCCCTGGAGCCAAGTTCGAGGGCCTGCCTCTGCTTGTAATCTTACGCTGCAGAGGCTGGGCTGGTCCTGGCCTAGCTGGCACACCATCCGCACTCACACTGGTGAAATGCTTGACATGCGCCGATCGGCGCCAAGCATGCTGCGCAAGTATATTTACCTTCGTTTAGAGGATCAGGAGCTCACCGACTGGGCAACGCAGCGAGGCATGCCCTTTCGGAAGCCCTTCCTCGAGCCTTGTCGCGCAGCAGTCAGGACAAAAAAGAAAAAGGGCCAGAAGCAGTCGGCTATGCTAGCGTTCCTGTGCAGCGATTTTTGGACGCAAGACAAAGTGTGGAGAGCAGGCCACTCTGAAGATCGAAGTTGTCAAAAGTGTGGGCACGCCATAGGAAATCAACACCATAGATTTTGTAGGTGTCCAGCGTTTCAGGGGCAGCGCCAGGCTGCAGGCGAATCTTATCCTGATATAATCCACCGTGCCTCCTCCTCGAGCTCCTCCTCCCATCTCTTCTCCAGGGCTCTTGCGCCTCACCCACTGGGGGGCCCCTTCCAGGACGTCACGCCCAGCATTGAGACCCTGGACCCCGAGTACGGGGACGATCCCCTTCTCTCGGGCCTGGCCTATTCGGATGGGTCGGGGGTCGGGGTCTCTGGGTTGAAAGCGTTCGGTTGGGGCCTCTGCTTTGTGGACCAGCACGGCAACGTACGCAAAGCGATGCATGGCACGGTCCCAGGAGTAAGGCAGGCACAAAGTGTGCTTAGAGCTGAATTGTATGGTTTCTTGAATGTTCTTCGCCACGGCACAGCCCCTCTGCAGGTAGGGATCGATAATTCCACAGTCGTTCGGGGCTTCAGGCGAGGCCCAGTTTGGTGCCGCCAAGCCAGGCGACCGCATGCAGATTTATGGCACATGATTTGGAATGCGATTGAGGACTCGTTCTCGGGGGAGGGGGGCCTCGTCGTCGTCAAGGTCAAAGCGCATTCCAAAAAGGCTCAGGCCCAGCAGCTCGAGGGACTCGAGCTGTGCAACTATCTAGGGAATCAATGCGCCGACCTTCAAGCGAAGGAGGGAGCCAAGCTAGACGCCATCCCGCCTCACACTCGTGACGCGTGGGTGTCTAGATCCAAGGAGGTTTGTGCTATCCTCGGGCTCGTCGGTGACATGACTTGTAAAATAGGCACGTTTGACGACACCACAGGCCGTCTCCAGAATGCCCCCCAGCCCCCTGGCCCTCGGCCGCGCCGTTCGGTGCTGCCTCCTCCAGAATCTCGGCATGTCCTGGAGTGGGATAGGGGGTCTTGGAGGTGTGCTTGTTGTGCTAGACGGGCCCACAGCTATAAGGCCAAGTTGGTGCTGTCGCGTAAGTTTTGCAGGAAGGGTTTCTCCTCCCACGGTAAGTGGAAGAAGATAGCGCGTGTCGACGGGGCTCCTTTGCAGGGGCCAAGGCGACACAAGCTGTCTCGAATAGGCCACTATACATTCTGTCGAGAGTGCGGCGCCTTTTTGAGCGCCAGGGCTTGTGGGTTGCTTGCTGGATGTCCTAAGGACCCGAAGGACCACAACGCCAAGACTCGACGAAATCGTTTGCTGGCAGGTAAGCACCCGTATAAAAATGATAGACTGCCTGGAGAGGTGGTCGCGCTGTCAAGAACCCAGGAATTGAATTTTCTGGAGTCGATTGGGATTGCTGCCAGGGCCTCCGCCGCTGGAAGCGGCGTGGAGGCACTCTCTTCCTCCGCAGCCTCAGGCGGTGCGGAGGTCTAACCAGGTCCGTCGCAGGTGGACGCGAGGTGCTCGCCCACGCTGTGCTCGCGGGAAAAAAAACCTCCTCCTCCTCCTCCTCCTCCTCCTCCTCCTCCTCCTCCTCCTCCTCCTCCTCCTCCTCCCCCCCCTGGCCTCCTCTGGCCTGCCTGGGAGCCCCCGGCCTCCTCCCCAGAGAGGCCGTCCCGGAGGGGCCGCCCGCCGAGGCGTATGGCTGCACGGTCCACCTCCGGCGCTCGAGCCCGCACCGCTCCACGCGTGGCTCTCCGGGGCTCCTCAGGCCCTGGAAACGGCAGGGCCGTTTTTTTTTTCCGGTTCCGTTTGGCCGTTTTTTTTACCGGTTCCGACGCCGTTTTTTTTTGTCCGGTTCCGTCGCCGTTTTTTTACCGGTTCCGGCCCCGGCTCCAATCCTGGAGCCGTCTTTTGGCCGTTTCTGGTCGCCGTTTTTTTGCCTTTTACATTTTCAATTGACATTTTTCCGGAAACGTTGAAAAAATGGCCCTGCCGTTTCCGGGGCCCACAAAGGGCTCTTCCCCCCGGTTGCGTACGGTCGGGCCGAGGTGTAAGATCGAGGTCCGTTCGGAGAGGGTGCCCTGATGTTTTTGGTGTCTGTTGGATGTGCTCGGGCTTTCTGGGGGAGAATACCCCCGAGTGATCGTATGGTTGGGGGTATAGGCCGGCGGTGGGTCTCTTGCTCTTGGATCTGCACGAACGAAATGGGTACGGAAAGAATGGGTCCAATGCCCAAGAGCGGAGCCTGTGAATTTTGGACAGGGCTCGCTGTCCACGCCGCCGCGGCCTGTGTCTATCTGAGGCAGAGGGCCGCCTGCCCAACAGCGGCCGCTCTTGGTTTGGGACAACATTTGCTGTTGGGCAGTGTATCCATTTTTTCCGTACCCATTTCGGGCGTCCAACATTGAGCTTGGGGTGGACAGAACCCCCACCCTGACACGTCGACTAGCGAGTTGCCCGTTTTTCCGGTTCTCGAGAGGGCGCCGTGGCCGTAATGTTCCAGGCTTGCGCCCGCCCGCCAGGTTTGGGCCCGACGTCGTTTTCACGAAACCACGTTTTACTAAAGGGGGTCCTATCCATCCCCCCGATTGAGACGGGGGTCAGTGCAAGCGGGGGCCAGCCAGAGCCAGAGCGCCGGATCTTGCAGGATCCTGTAGGGAAAGGGTCGCATTGGCCCGGGCTTGGGTGCAGGATCCTGCTTCGCAACGACCCGGGCTTGGGTGCAGGATCTTGCAGGATTTGCAAGATTCTGCAAAGCTTTACTGACCTGGGTCTGGATTGACCCAGGTCAGAAGATCCTTGAGCACTTCATCCCGTTGCAAGGTGGATAGCGGACATCGCCCAATCTTGGGCGACCTACGCGTCGTTAGAAACCACAGCCCACGCATTCGCGACAGGAAGACGCCGTAAGTTGGCTTACCCCTTTCGCGAACCCCTTGGTGGTATTGTAGTGGCCTTCGGCCAGTGCCGCCGATCCGGGGCGCTCCGACTGATGTGATCCTTCTTCGCCCTCGTCCCTCCTCTCTTTTTCCCTCCCCTCCTCTCACTCAGCATTTATCCAGTGGCCGTCGGCCTACCCCGCCACCGTGCGTGGGTGGTGGGTCAGAGGCCTCATGGATGCTGGTTGGGATCTCGTGGTTGGCTGGGACTTCTGGGGGCCTCTTGGGCGCCTCTTGGGGCTTCTTGGGGGCCTCTTGGGCCTCTTGGGGCCACTAGAGGGCCTCTTGGGGGTCTCTTGGGAGCCTCTTGGGGCTTCTTGGGGGCCTCTTCTGCGCCCCTTGGGGCCTCTTGGAGGCCTCCTCGGAGCCTCTTGGTGCGGGAGGGGTGGTACTCGAGTTCGGAACCCCCTCGGAGGCCACGATCCTTGTGAGGGGTGTCAAAAAACGCATCCGCCGGAAACTCGCACCCCCCCCCCCCCACCCCCCCTTCCCCGGCAGAGCCACCCCGGCAACCCCCCCAGAGGCTGAGGCTCAGCCTCGAGGCTGTAGCTGAGACTCCTTGAAACTCACACGCCGGATCGGCGGATTTGTGAGCCCACGGCAGTCTCGTGCAGCTTTCAAGTGAGGGCCCGGACACCAGCTGAGGAGTGGTTCAGGAGGGGAGCATTATTGCACTCCAGTGCCCCAAGGGGTCTGCGTATTCGGCCAGCTGGAGCCAGGGGTCAGTTTTAATCGTCTTTAACCGGCGTAATCGACAGCGCAGTATCACGTAAGGGCTTGCTATGGCTGGCCTGGTTTTGAGTGCCAGTCCAGGCCACATCGCACCTTTACGTGTGTATACATATGTATATGTATATGTATATATATATATATATATATATATATATATTCTCATACGCACCTCTCCGAGGGAGTAGAGCTCAGAGGCGATTCATGCGCACGCGTCCGCGATTTTTCTGGGCGTTTCGCTCGGGACATCCTCGGAATTCTGAAAATCGGTGGCACCCCTCACGCAGATCGCGACGTCAGGGTCCAAAAACACATGGGAAATTCAACATTTTAGCATAAAACCTTCAAAAACACATGGTCATCTCAATAATTGTGACCCCGATTCTCAGTGAATGGCGGTTTCGCTTGAAAAATCTTTCCAAAATCGAGCCCCAGACCCCGCCTCGGAGCCTCCTGGGGGCCTCCTGGAACCTCCTGGGGCCTCCTGGGCCTTCTGAACCTTCTGGCACCCCAGACCCCGCCTCGGAGCCTCCTGGGGGTGTCCTGAAACCTCCTGGGGCCTCATCACAAACACACACACACACACACACACACGCACACACGCACAACACTCACAATCCTGGGGCCTCCTGGAGCCTCTTCTGGTATCCAAGTCGGGCCTCCTAAGGCTTCCTGGCGGCCCTGGTACACACATCGCAAGGTGTGGCAACCCCACTTGCGCTCGAGTGCGACTTCGATGTTGCATTTCACTCCTGCTTCAAACGCCCCTTCAGTTTTTTTGTATGAGCCTGGGCACACACGTGCCACATGTATATATGTATTCAGGGCTTGATGCCGTTCCTACATTAATCAATGTGAAGGGATGGGTTGTGATGAGAAGTTGAGGTGCTACTGCTCCACAGGTAAGGGCCAGCTGAGCACGTCCATTTCCACAGCTGACGAGAAGATCACCAAGGTATCCTCCCATTGGTATCCGCATTAGGAGAAGGAGGAGGAGGATAACCACGATGAGAAGCAGGAGCGGGCGGAGGAAACGAGAAGAGACAGGAGGGAGGCAGGGAGGAGGACGGAATCTGATGTGGCAGGGAGGGAGGGACGGAAGGAGTGAGGGGTGGGGACGGAGGGAGTGAGGGGAGGCGGAGGGAAGATCGAAGGGAACGCTAGAATGAATAATGGGAGGCGAGGAGAGGATGACTGAGATAGGGATGATTGGTAGGAAGGAGTGGGGTGGTGAAGAGGGAAGTGGAGAAAGGAATAGGGGAGGACGGGAAGAGAAGGGGAGGCGAGCAGGTATGAGGTGAAGGAAGGAGGGGAGGCGAGGAGGAGGAGGAGGAGGAGGAATGGAAAAAGGAGGAAGAGGCGGACATAGAGGAGGAGGAGGAGGAGGAGGAGGAGGAGGAGGAAGAGGAGGAGGAGGAGGAGGAGGAGGAGGAAGAGGAGGAAGCAGGAGGAGGAGGGAGGAGGAGGAGGAGGGAGGAGGAGGAGGAGGAGGTGGAGGAGGGAGGAGGAATGGAGGGAGGCGAAGAAAAGACAAGAGGCGAAGAGAGGGAGGAGGGAAGGAGGAGAGTGGTCAGATGAAGGTAGGATGAGGAAAGCGCAAAGCAGGGAGGATGAGGAGGGAGAGGCGGCCGATGGAGGGAGATTAGCGAAAGGAGGCGGCCGATGGAGGGACGAAGGAAGGGCGGCGGTGAAGGAGGAGGCGCAGGAACAGGGGGGGGGAGGGGGAGGAGGGAGAAGGGAGGAGCGAAGGCGGAGGAGGGAGGAGCAGGGAGTATGAGGCAGGGAAGCAGGAGAGGGTTGAGGGGGGGGGTCCAGCACAGCGCGGGGCTACGCAGCCCCGGAGTAGGCCTCGCCATCCGGGGGGGGGGGGGAGGGGGCTGCGAACCGTGCAGCCGTCGCCGTTTCCGCTGGCTGTTGGGCGGGGAGTCCAACACAGCGCGAGGTGACTTAGACTGAGACTCGACCTTGCTACCTCTGCGGGGGGGGGGACTGCGAGGTTGAAACAGTCGGCGCTTCCGAGGGCCAAGGCTTCGGGACCCAAGCATCTTGTTATGCTGGGCTCTCGAAGTTGATGCAACAGCATCTTGCGTCACTCCGTCATCCTCCTCCTCCCGGACGCCCCCATCATCGTCGTCGTTATCTTCCTCGCCTCCATCGTATGACATAGTTCGCATTGTTACCTTGCTGGGGAAAAGCACGGATGGGGATGATATTCACATTTTTTGTGTGGATCTCGACCACGCAGTCAAGTCAGTCTGGCAGGTTGTGAAATGATGGTGCCGATGATGTCGACCCCGACGCCAAGAACGAGGACTAGAAAGGTGGTGATGTCGTTGATGCCGAGGATAGTGACAGAGGGAAGGCCGATACGAGATCGACGACGACGAGGGTGATGGGGAGAACGCCGATGGTCATGATGATGGCACTGGTAACGAGCACGCTGACGATGTTGACGATGCTGGTGTTAGTAAAGACGATGGGGAAGAGCGCGAGCGCATATATTTTGGACGAGGGCGACGGCATTCAGGCTCAGGGTAACGACGACCGCTGATGGCAATGGTGACGATGACGCTCACAATGGTGACGTTGGCGGTGATGCCTGCGACTGTGTTGATGAGGGTGATGGGGAGGGGCGCGCCCACAGACACGTTGACGTCTCGTCGTATTTCGGTTGGGCACCGCTCGTGGTCCGCAGAATCGAGGGTTGCAGATGAACAACATGGTCTAGAATCGAGAATCGATGGTTTCGTTTCCGTTTCCGCCTTTGCACACATGTCTTGCCTCGAACGTATCCTTATCCCGAAGATTGACAGGCCAAGAGGCGATGACAATCTTGGGGATTCGCCCTCAGAACATAAGGGAATCCCTAAGATTGGCATCGTGATGAGGAGATGCCCAGCATAGGGATAGGGGTCTGTTCCAGGCTGGTAAACACATGCGTGAGGTGCTTGTTGCAGAACCGACGTTCGTCCACGGCTTCGACGCGCGAGCGACGCGCACGCGTGGCCCGCACTGTACTTCCACCGAGTTCGGGGGCGCTCTCGCTCGGTGTCTGGAAGTGCTCGACGTGCGCGCGCGATCACATCGGGGATGGACAGACCTCCTACCCTGACACGTCGATTAAGAAATTCGCCGTCTTCGGTTCGCGAGAGGACCTCGCGGCCGTCATTTTTGCGGGCCCAGGTCCGTCGTTTTCGGCCCCAGGCCGTTTTCACCAAGGGGGGGTCTACTAAAGGGAGGTTTGTCCACCGCCGATCACCCCGAACGGCGTCATTTCGCACACTGGCTAACCGCCTGTCTCCTATCATGACTGCAGAGAGTGGACGCGCGCAGACCTCCTACATTCTCTTCTTGGAGAGCTCTTTTTTGCTCTCGCTGCAACCCGTGTCTTGTAGGAGTGGATTTGACATGCGCGCGCGGCGCCGCCTTCATGTGCCCCGCATTCTGCTCATTGGTTTGCAGTGGGTTCTCAGACAAACACTTCTCATATCTGCACGTGTGCACCGCACAGTCATGCCTGCAGGAGATGGCGAGGTGTGGCCAGTGCCCGTCTGGCGAGTATGGTACCTCTCTCGATCGTTCGGGTGAGTTTGTTCGTGCAGGATGCATACAAGTACATCGAACACAATGCGATCATGTGTGCCGATCGCCCCACCCATGGGGGGGGGCATAGGCGAACATCCTCCAGGACAAGAGTTCAGTGTGTGAGTGCCGAAGGTCAGCCCAGAGCTCGAGCTGAACGGTGTTCTGGCGAGTTCGTGGACCGTTTTCGTTTGGACTTCGATCAGATTTCGTGCTCGTTTGGGCCAAGACCCAGAGATGGCAGCCAGCGGTTTAAGAAGGCAAGTGAGCACTCCTGCGTTGGGCAGGCTCCGGATGGCGCACGGGGAGCCTCCCAGGCAGGGGTGGACCTGAACGGTGTTTTGCCGACTGCCTGGGCCCTCTGCGTCTCGACTTCGGCTTGCACCGGAGGAGGAGCGAAGCCCCAGCGAGGGGCAGCGAACACCAGACGACAGCGAAAAGCGCCGTTCAGCTCGAGCCCTGGGCCGGCCAGCGAACTTGTTCGGAGGTGGATCGACCTCCTACCCTGACACGTCGATTCAGGAATTCGCAGTCTTCGTTCGGTTCGCGAGAGGGCGTCGCGGCCGTCATTTTTGCGGGTCCAGGTCCGTCGCTTTCGGTCCCAGGCCGTTTGCACTAAGGGGAGGCCCAGGCCGGTTTCACTGAGGGGAGGTTCACTAAAGGGAGGTGTGTCCAACAGCGAATTTCTGGCGACCACAAGGTTCGGGGGTGGACAGAACCCCCAACAGTGACACGTCGATTAGTGAATTGTCCGTTTTCGGTTTTCGAGAAGGCGCCGTGGCCGTTATTTTCCAGGCTTGCGCCCGCCAGGTTTGGGCCTCGGGTCGGTTTCACGAAACCAGGTTCTGCTAAAGGGGGTCTGTCCATCCCCGAAAGGTGCCCCCCACGGGCGGCGGCTGCGAGCGAGGACCTCTGCCGAGGTGGCGGCCGGCGCTTCCGGGGCGCCCACGACCGGCGCCCCCGGGCGGCGACCCGGCCAGGGCTCGCCTCGGCTCCGCCGAGTCGGTTCGATTCGACTTCGGATGTCTTCCGTTTCCGGTTCCCGTTGTCGTCGTGTTCGTCGTCGATGCATCGTCCATTCTGGACGCCCGAAGTGGACACGGAAAGAATGGGTACGATGCCCAACAGCAGTTCCTGTCCATTTTGAACAGGACTCGCTGTCCACGCCGCCGGAGCCTGTGTCCATTCGAGACAGAAGGCCGCCTGCCCAACAGCGGCCGCTGTTGGCTTGGGACAGCATTTGTTGTTGGGCATAGTGCCCATTCTTTCCGTATCCATTTCGGACATCCACATCAATGTTTTCCGATGCATCGACGACGACGATTCGATTCGATTCGATTCGATTCGATTCGATTCGTTTCCGACGACTTCGGATGCCGATTTGGGCTCCGAGTTCTCAGTGGAGGCCTGCTGGCCTGCCGATCTCCGCCCATGCGACTCTTGCCGACTCGGCTGCCGAGCTCCGCCGATCCGCTTCGCTTCGATCGCCGATTCGACGTATCGGTTCGATGCTGGGCTTTCCTGGCGAGAACCTCGAAACGCCCGCCAACGTATATATGCAAGCAGTGGCGAGGCGTCTTGGCCCAGGCCCTCCTAAGAGTGCTCTCCGAAGTTCTGCTTGTGGCTCGCACGCAGATGTTCTGATGACCTTCCGGACTGGCACTGCTCTTTTTGTTCAGTCGATCGGCTCTCCGTTCTGAGAGCATTGTTTCTGTTCTTCGAGCAGGTTCGGGTTCTGAGAACATTTCGTGGCAGGCCTATACTGTCGGCCTGGATGAGTAGGTGGACCCTGCCAAATCAAGGGTACCTTTTGTGTCCTGTGTCTCGCGACCCATGCCTCCTGCATTCCTGTGGCAGCGTGGCCCTCGGAAGCCTCCAGCCTGTCCTGTCCAGTGAAGTCCGACTCTCGGAATGCTGGTACTTTGTGGGCCCCTCAAACGGCAGGGCCGTTTTTTTCACCGTTTCAAAAAAATGTCCCTTGAAAATGGACACGGCAAAAAATGGAGACCGGAAACGGCAACAAAAACGGCTCCAGGATTGGAACCGGAGCCGGAACCTGTCAAAAAACGGCGACGGAACCGGTAACAAAAACGGCGTCGGAACCGGCAAGAGAACGGCAAAACGGAACCGGTAAAAAACGGCCTTGCCGTTTCCGGGGCCCACTAAGTGCTGGTACGGTCGGCCCCTGCTCCCTGCATGGGGCGCCCACGAGGCGCCCGCGTGCGGCGACTGGGCCTCAAGACGCCGCAGTGGCGGCCGGCGGTTTGGGCGAGCCCCTTCGGCGGTGGGGCCTCGGACTGCGCACGGGGGGCCCCTCAGGCAGGTTGCTGCTTGCCGTTGGGTGGCCAGCCAACTGAGGCGGCGGCGCGGCCGATGCGTGCCCGCGGCAGCATATGCACGAAATTCAGGGAGGAGGAGGAGGAGGAGGAGGAGGAGGAGGAGGAGGAGGAGGAGGAGGAGGAGGGAGGGGGAGGAGGAGGAGGGGAGGGGGAGGAAGAAGACCACTGACCAAACAGCCAGGGCAGCGAGCGGGCCGCCTCCGCACAGTCCACCCGAAACATTCCTGGAAGCATGCTCCCTAGGGGCCTCCTGGGGCATGCTTTGCACGCTCCTGGGACAGCTGCGGCGGCGCCAGCCCCCCAAAGTATGAGCCTCTCAGGTCGTCCCAGCTGTCTTCAAGAGTCGGGCCGGACGAAAGGGGGGGAGTGGGGAAGGGGCGGGTACGAAATTTGCTGCATGCAGCTGGTTTCGGCCTCGCCGAGGGGCCCATTCCTCGATACATAGCCGCCTCCAGCGCCGGGAGGCGCTGGGAAAATCAGCTACTTGAGCTGATTCTCCCCCCCCCCCTCCTTTGCTATCCCCCCCTTTCGCCCGACCCGAAAGAGGCCCCTTGAGTAGCCCAGGGAGGTTTCAGCACCCGGGCACCGCCTCCGGCGGCGCCCCTCGGGGCGCCCCGCGCCCCGGGGTTGTTAAAGTGTCGAGACCGCTCCGGGCCGCTCGGGGGTCCTGCAATTAAGGCCAGGTTGTACTGCTCGTCGAGGGTGACGATGAGGACAGCCGGGTCTGCCTTGGGGGCTGTTTCTGCGGCGCCCGAAGCTCAAGCAGCGGCGAAGCGTCCTGGCTCGCCTGTAGCCCTACCAAGCAATGTTCTAAGAACCGTTTGTGGTTCCCACGAGATGTTCTTAGAACATGTCTGGCGGAGGCTGTCTTGTTTTAACACATCGGGCTAATGTTCTAAGATCATTGTTTTGGTTATTTAAACATTTTGGGGTTCTACGAACATTTCGTGGTAGGACTATAGGAATGCCGGGACGGTCGGTCCCTGCTCAAGAAGCATTCCCACAATGTGTGGGGAATGCTGCGCCAGATCGTGCTCGCAACTCTCACTGTAATGCCATGTTGCTGCTAGACCTCGCCATTGCTCGTACTAGCTGCGTGCCCTACAGGTGACATCCATGCTCGAAGAGGGGGAGTCGAAGAAGGCCCAGCTTGATTCGGACATCAAGAAGGCGAAGGCCGACCGCGCTGAGGGCAAGACGGCCCTGGCGACTGCCACCTCGCTCCGGGCCAAGGCGGCCACCGCGTACGCGAAGGAGTCTTCAGATTTTCAGACTGACCTCTCCGCCCTCACCGCCGCCATCAAGGCCATCGAGACTGGTATGGCCGGCAGCTTCCTGCAGACGCAGGCCGGCAGCGTGCTGCGCCGCCTCGCCGTGGACGTTGACATGTCTGCGCCCGACCGCGACATGCTCACCGCCTTCCTCGCGCAGGGGCAGGGCTATGTGCCCAAGAGCGGGCAGATTGTCGGGATCCTGAAGGAGATGAAGGACTCGGGGCGGGGCGGCCGTCGTGAATTGAGGAGGAGCGAGGGACGGTGTGAGAGCAGGGAGGGATGGAGAGGGAGGGAGAGAGAGAGAGAGGAAAACAAAGACAGGGGAAGATAGAGGGAGGTGTGCTGGGAGAGAGAGAGAGAGAGGGAGAGAGAGACACACACAAACATACACACACACGCACACACACACACACACGCACACACACACACACGCACACGCACACGCACACGCACACGCACACGCACACGCACACGCACACGCACACGCACACGCACACGCACACGCACACGCACACACACACACACACACACACACACACACACACGCACGCACGCACGCACGCACGCACGCACGCACCGATGCGGACGAAGTTCGTCCCAGCGCCGCGGCCGCTGGTGCCGCGCGCGCCGTGCTCTTGCTGCCAAGGCGGGCAGATTTCAATGGACCTGGACGTCCGACCGCCACGGTGCACGGCAGACGACGCGAAAGGCGCCCGACAGAGAGATAGAAGGGGATCGTGTTTGATTCAGCATCTCCCTTTTTCGGTCGGTGCATGTGTCAGTCTATTCCTGCATGTTGTTCCTCCCTCTCTCCCTTTCTCACTCTCTCTTTCTCTCTCTCTCCCTCTCTCTCTCTCTCTTTTGTTTTCTCTCTCTCTCTCTGTCTCACCCTCTCTCTCTCTCTCCTTCTCTTTTTGTTTGACGTTCGGCCCATCTTGCCACCGCACCTGGGTCGTGGATACACTTGGGAGGCCAATTGCGGGACTCTTGTGACCTCTTGGGGGCATCTTGGGGGCGTCTTTGAGGCATTTTGGGGGCAGTTCGGGGTCTTGTGGACCTCACGGGGCATCCTGACCGTTTCGGGGGTTGGGACAATGTCAGTTCGTGTTTCCCCGTTCGTGCCTGTCTTAGGGCCTTTTTGTGGCCGTCTTGGAGGGGCCCTTGGTCCGTCTTTGTCAGATACTGGGCCGTCTTGGGTTGATACTGGTGTCTTTTCAAGCCGTCTAAAAGCGAATGCAGCTCGGAACTGCTAGAGCATCAAATTTGTCAAACAAACTGCGGCAACACATGATTTTGGCCTGTCGGGGCGATCTTGGGCTGTTCAATATTGTAGTGGCCTCCGGCCAGTGCCGCCGATCCAGGACGCTTCCGTTGCTGCCGGAAGCGCGCGATGGCGGTCATGACCGGCGGCGACGGTGACCGGTGAGGATGTTGATGAGGATTCTGTTGATCCCATCGCACTTGAGGACCACATCCCAGAAATAATTTCGAACACCTGGAACAGTGTCGAAACAGTGTCGGGCGAGTGTTTCCCAGGGCCCGACATGTGAAACCCTTCGACTTTCGGTGTTTGTTGTGTTTTTTGGGGTTTTGTTTTTGGTGGTCAAGGTTGGAGTAGGTTGGAACATGATAAGATGAGGATTGGGCATGGAGGCAACGGAGTAGGAGGAGGAGGAGGAGGAGGGGGAGGAGGAGGAGGAGGAGGAGGAGGATCATGATGAGGTGGAAAGGGGGTGGGGGGGAGGAGCAGGGGTAGCAGGATGCTGAGCATGAGGCGGAGCAGGAGGAAGCGGGAAGTGGAAAAAGGGGGAGGGGGAAAAGGCGGAACACGACGAGGATGAAGAGATTTTCGGCGGTTGTTGGAGATGTCCGGCGGTTGTTGGAGAGCCTCTTTGAGGCCAGGTGTTGGCCTTGTGGGTTGACACCTCGCCGATTCGGCGCATTCTCGGAAAAACTTTGCGCTGGAGTTGTCTTCGTCAAAGTTCTTTGTGGAGCCTTGTGCATCACCGGTCTCTTTTGTGAACCTTTTTGGGGGCCTCTGGGGCCTTCGCGCGGTCGTTCGCGGGCCCCTGTGAGATCATGGATGTGAAGGGACACCGAAGACGAGAAAAGATGTGAAAGCATGGGCGATGTTTTTATATTGCAGCGCTTGTCCGCAAACGTGAGCGCCGTGGAAACATTGGGACTGGTTTTGGGTTTATCGGGAGGGGTGTTGGTGGCAGCGTGGATGCATCTCGAAGGCGTATTGGATACCTTGTTTGAAATTCCCGGGGGCCTTCAGCGGGTTTCGGGGGGCCTCTTCGGGGCCAGTTGGAAGCTTTATGGGGCCTTTTCAGGCCTCTTTGGGGTCTCTGGGGGCCTCCGGGGGGTTTTCGGGCCGTCTTCGGCAGTTGCTCCGCCGTCTCGGCGCCCTCTCAAGCGCTTCTTGGGCGCGTCCTGGGGCACTCTTGGGTCTTTCCGGGGGCCTCCTGGGCCATTTCGGGCTGCTCTTGGGCCTTGGAACCCTCTTGGCGATTTCTTCGGCCGTGTTGGGGTTCTCTTGGGGCGTCTGCGACGCTCTGAAGGCCCGAGAGGCGAATGTGCTAACATTTTTTGTTTTCGTTACGGACAGAGAAACGTGTTCCTTCTTTGGGCTTCTTCGGGAGGCCTTTTCGGGGCCTTTGAGGGCATCTTGGATGCTTCTGGAGCCGTCTTGGGGACATCTTGGACGTCCTGCAGCGATCGTTCGGCGACTCGGGGCCCTCTTGGCCCATGTTGGGGCCCTCCCGGGCGAGGGGACCGTCCCGGAGTGAGCTGGCGCGCCGATTCCGCCCCAGTAAGTACATCGACCCCCCCCCCCTTACCCCGGCAGAGCCACCCCGGCACCCACCCCCCAGTAGACTTGAAGCTGTGGAATGGAGGCTCAGGCTGTTCTGAGGGTTTTTGAAACTCACGCGCCGGATCGGCGGATTTCCTTCTCTCTGTCTGTATGTCTGTCAGTTTGTTTTTGCTGTGGTTTGTGCCTTTCTCTCTCTCTCTCTTTCTCTCTCCCTTTCTTTCTCTCTCTCTCTCTCTCTCTCTCCTCTTTCTGTGTTCACAGTCTCACGGTGAGCTGGAACGGCGTAAAATTTGCGGCCTGTTTCTCGCGAGCCAGTTGCAGGATCGGACTTCCCCGTCTCGTCCTTCATTTTTTTTTCTGCCCCTCTCCTCTTTCCTTTTCTTTCTTTGTTTGTTCTCTCTCTCTCTCTTTCTCTTTTTCTCTCCTCTCCTCCATCCTCGTTCCTCGCTCCCTTGCTCTTCTGCCTCCTCCGTCCTCGCCCCGGGACCCGGCGAGCACATCGGGATAGCCGGGGCGCCCTCGCCAGCGTCGTTGGGATGGCGAGCTGGCGGGTGGTCGGTGCCGCCTGATTGGGCGGGATATAAGTAGAAGGGCGGACCGTCCCAAGGACGGGCGGATCGGGTGCCCTTTTCGGGCTTGGGGTGCGCCTCCCCCGTCGAGGCTGGCGGTCCCGCGGCGGTGCGCGGAGCGCGCCGCCGCTTTGCGGCCCCCGACCTGAGCGAGGCTGTGCTATTCGCTCGCGCTGGCGGGTGCGGGAGGTTTTGATCTTCCCGTTCGTTTGTTTCTTTTACGCAGGGGAGGGGGCTGGCCCAACTCATTGGCGTTTGTTGGCATCTCTCGTCCATTGCGGGTTCGGACACCGCGTTGGTCACGTTTCCCCTTTTCGCGGCGGGCTTTGTTCCAGAGAGTTGGGGCTTGCGCCCCCATTCCCTTAGACATTGCGTCCCATTATCCGAATCCGAATCCCCCGTCCTCCCCCCGCTCCCTCCTCCTTCCCCTTGTGTCCCCGCTCCCTCCCTACTCTCTCCTTTTCCCCCGCCCCTTCATTTCTCTCCCCCCCTCTTCTCATTCCTCCCGCGCCTGTTTAGGGTCGGACAGGGCGTGGCGCATGCGCCCCAGCCTTGATATCTCAGTTGTTCGCGCGGTGATGCCACCTGTCTTCCTCGGGGGCGCTTTCCTGCTCCATCCTTCCTTTCCGGACGCAGCGCAGCTCCTGGGAGGGCAAGCTCTGCTTGTGGCATGGCCCGACACCCGACTCAATTCGGCGCAATCCCGCTTCATCCAGCGGAGTTTCGCTCGATCGGGCTTGGCTTGGCCCCGCTCAGAACGCCGCCCCAGCCGCCGCGGCAGCCCCCCAAATCCTGGCCCTCGCCCCCCCGAATCCTCGCCTTCCGAATCCTCGCCCTCGCCCCCCCGAGTCCTCGCCCCCGCCCCCCCGTCGCGGACGGAACCCTCGCCCCCCCGAATCCTCGCCCTCGCCCCCCCGTCGCGGACGGAACCCTCGCCCCCCCGAAGAAGTCCGTCCGACGAAGACCTCCCAGCAGATGCCTCCCAGTCCCCTCTCGCCCTCCGAATCCTCGCCCTCGCCCCCCCGAGTCCTCGCCCCCGCCCCCCCGTCGCGGACTTCACCCTCGCCCCCCCGAAAAAGTCCGTCCGACGAATAGACCTCCCGGCAGCTGGCCCCCCGGGCCCCCTCCCCCTTTCTCGTGCCCGCGCCTGGCCCCGCCCGCGCCGCTCGGGCGGTGCGCGTTTTTTTTTTGTCCGGCTCGCCTTCTCTTCGGGAGGGATGTTTCCCAAAACGCAAGCAGAGCGCCTGGAAACGATGCTTGGACTATGTTAAGTTTTGCTATTCTTGGTCATCCTTGGTCAGTTTTTGGATTCCAAGAATCGTGTTTGCTTATTCTTGGTCATGCTTGGATTACTTTTCAGGTTCGTCCGAAATCCGCCTCTAGGAGGACATGCCCGACCCAGGGCCAGGGCGATGGTAAATCCGTTCGGGGGCGCTCCGGGGCGCTTCTCAGGGCCGTCCGGAACGATTTGAGAATGCCGCTGCGCACGAGACATCCTCGGGAGCCGCGGGATCTCAAAGGTTCTCGAGATAACAGAGCGCCCCGGATTATAATTCATATGTTTTCTGAACCCGTGAGAGCCCGGGGAAAATGGGCGGCAGGGCCGAACTTTGTCATCGCGGGGGGAAGCTGCAAATCGAAATTGGTCGTTTTTATGATGAGTCGCAACATCATCATCCCACGTGATGCAGGGCTATATAATGTTTTCTCCAGACAGGGTCGCCCTATAGGAGTTTTGATTCAAACCCGACGAATTGGTCCGGGTCCCCCCCAACTCCTATGCCCCCCCTAATTCTTACGGCTATGCCTAAGCCTATGCCTCCCCCCGAACTCCGATGCCTACGCCTATGCCTCTGCCTATGCATCTGATTGCGCTTGTTTGCTTCCGCTTGCTTGCTTGCGCTTGCTTGATTTTCCTGCTCCCGTCCTCCTTTCGTCCTCCTCCCATCATCCTCTCGTCCTCCTCTTGTCTTCCTATCTATCTGGAGGCAACGCTGGCATCTACTCGTATCACTACCACTGCCACTACCACCACGGCTCGTCCTACGATCACCCTACTATTACTACTACTACTACTACTACTACTACTACTACTACTACTACTACTACTAGTACTACTACTACGACTACTACTACTACTACTGCTTCTACTACTACGACTACTACTACTACGCCCAGTAGTACTCTTGCTACTACTACTACTGCTACCACTACCACTACTACCACCACTTCTACTACGACTACCTACTACCACGAGTATGACTACGACCAGCACCACCAGCACGAGGAATTTCACTATCAATTTTACTCCAACTGCGGCCACTTCTAGCACTACGACTACGACTACGACTACTGCGACTACAATCACGACTACTTCTACTACGACGACTACGAATCTTATATGAGTCTTACAACTACGACCGCGACTACGACCGCTTCTGCTGCGATTACCAGTTGTACTACTACTCGTACTATTACGATGGTTATTAGTAGTACTTCTACCAGCACTACCGCTATTTCTGTTACTACTTCTACAACTACGGCGCTTCTTTCTACGACTACTACTACTACTACTACTACTACTACGACTACTACGACTACTACTACTACTACTACTACTACTTCTACTACTATTACTACTACTACTGCTACTAC